CCCCTCGATTAGATTCCAGTCTGTAACTCCCTCCCCGGGGGGTATCTGTTATTCTGTATATAAACCCCCCCGAACCCCCTGACTGTGTGCTTGTTGCTTTACCAACCTCCTGCTCTGCGACCTGGGCTCTCTCTTCCATCGTCATATCTTGACGTTTGCCGTGGACGTTTCTCATCTCCACTCCCAGCCTTTTATCCTCCCGCACAGCGTCGAGTTGGAGTTTCAGTGCAAGGCTCTCCTGGCTGGAGCTGGGGGACCGGGGTGGGCACACAGTGTGGCACAGGCCCAGGAGAGAATGGCAGAGGATTAGAGTGTCGTTGGGCACATGAGAACCCACCTCAGTGCTCCGTTCCCAACTCAACCTCTGACCATGGAAATCCCAGATGTCCACATTTACCTGTCACAGTGTGACTGACCCCCCCCGCCGCACAACTCCCAGCCTTCAGGTGGGTGACTCCTTCCGACTGTGTTCCTCTCTGTCTGGCTCCTGGAACCATGGTGTTCCGGAGGGAGAGGTGGGTGGGGTAGGAGGGTTATCGGATGGGGGGTGCAGGTGGGGAGCGGGAATCCCGGCTGGCATTCCTGAATCCACACTGCCGACTGGGGTTCCCGTTCCCTGTTACCCCCTTTACCCAAGACCATTCGCTCCCTCCATCAGCTGTCCATTAGCCCTTGGGCACTTGCTCTGTCCTGCCCATCACAGGCCGAGCTTTCCGGAAAGTTCCTATTTAAATGTTCCAGCACCATAGCTCTGAGTAACTATCAGGCAATCACCCTCCCTCTCCCGCTATCCCTCTCCCTCTCTTTCTCTCCCTATCCTTCTCCGTCTCTCTCTCTCCATCTCCCTCTCCTTCTCCCTCTCTCCCTCTCCCTCTCTCCCCCCTCCCTCTGTCCCACCTCTCCCTCTCTCTCTCCCTCCTTCCCCCTCTGCCCCCCCCTCTCTCTTTCCTCCTCTCTCTCTCCCCAACTCTATTCTCTCCCTCCACCCTCCCTCCCTCTCTTCACTACACACTCCCCCCATTCCCTCCCTAACTCTGCCTCTCATCCTCCCCTTTCCTTCTCTCTTACCCCCTCCATCCGTCCCTCTCCCTTCGACCCCATATCCCTCTACCCTCCGTCCCTCTCACCCCTCCACCCTCTCTCTCCCCCTCCTTTCCCTCCCTCCCCCATCTCCCCACCAACCTCCCACCCCACACCCCCCCCACCCCTCCCCAGCCTCCCACCTCACCTCTGTAGTTTGTCCCTCATCTCCAGCACAGTGCTAGCAAGGTGGGCCTTCTCTTGAGTAAGGGTGGTGCACAGAGACTGCAGGTTCATGTTCTCTCTCTGCAGGTCACTGAGAAGGTCTGCATGGGGTGGGGTGGGGGAGGGGGAGAGCACAGCAGGGATCAACAGCGTGCCTCACACATTGCCCCACCCCCACCTCCCTCCTTCACCCCGGAGCTCCCGTCTTGCTCTGTACCCCTGTGCCCCGCTTGATCTCCGCTTGCTGCCCACCTGGGAGTGTAACTCCCTCCGGAGTCCTGTCTCCCTGGAATTTCGACCTGGGGGTACACTCACCCACCTGCAAAGCACAGGCTGGGGGTGGGGAACAAAAAGATCTAGGGGTCGCAGCTCCTTGAAAGCGGAGTCCCAGGTAGGCAGGGTGGGGAAGAGGCTTTCATCAGTCGGAGCATTGAGTATGGGAGTTGGGACGTCGTGTTGTAGCTGTACAGGACATTGGTGAAGCCAACGTTTAGAGAACTGCATGCAGCTCAGGTCCTGGCGTGAGACTGGAAAAGCACAGCAGGTCAGACAACATCCAAGGGGCAGCAAAGTCAATGTTTCAGCCCAAAACATTGACTTACCTGCTCCTCAGGTGCCGTTTCTGATCAGACCCAACGGATATTATTAATAGAAAGCAGGAAAGATTCACTGGGATGCTACATGGACCGGAAGGTTTGAGCAATAAGGAGAGGCTGGGACTTTTCTCCCTGGAGGGCAGGAGGCTGAGGGGTGACCTTATATAGAGCTCTATAAAATCGTGAGGGGCATGGATAGGGTGAATAGCAAAGGGTCTTTTGGGGGAGTCCAAAACTAGGGGGAATATTTTTAAGGTGAGAGGGAAGAGATACCAAAGGGTGCAGAGGGGCAATTTGTTTCACACACGGAGAGTGGTGAGTGTCTGGAACAGGCTGCCACAGCAAGTGATGGAAGTGAGTACAATTTCATCATTTAAGAAACATTTAGACAGGTACATGGATGGGATAGTTATGGAGAGATAGGGACCAAACACAGGCAAATGGGACTAGTTCAAATTGTGAAAACTGGGCAGCATGGATAAGTTGGGCCGAAGGGCCTGTTTCCATGCCGTGGATCTCTACGACTATGGCCCATCAGGCCGACATTAGTGGTAGGTAAGTTGTTGGCGTCAATTCTGATAGGCAGAATCTACATGCATTTGGAGAGGCAACAACTGATTAGGCTTTGTGCATGGGAAATCATATCTCACAAACTGGACTGAGTTTTTTGAGGACGTAAACAAAAATATTGATGAGGGCACAGTGGTAGACATTATCTACATCGACATTAGTAAAGTCTTTGACAAGGTTTTATATGGCAGACTAATTAGTCAAATTAGATCACATGGGATTCAGGGACAGCTTGTTTTTTGGACTGCAGGCCTGTAACCAGCGGTGTTCCTCAGGAATTGGTGCTGGATCTACTTGTGTTCATCATTTATAAAAACAATTTGGATGAGAATTTAGGAGGCACCAATATTGGTGATATAGTCAACAGCGAAGAAGGTTACCTAAGATTACAAAGAGATCTTGATCAATTGGGTCAATGGGTTGAGGAGTGGCAGATGAGTTTAATTTGGAGAAATGCGAGGTGTTGCATTTTAGTAAAACAAGCAAGTGCAGGACTTGCACTGTTAATGGTAGGGCCCTGGGGAGTGTTGTATAACAGATAGACCTAGGGGTTCAGGTACATAATTCTTTGAAATTTGCATCACAGATAGACAGGGTGGTTAAGGAGGTGTTTAGCACGCTTGTCTTCATTGTTCACTCTACTGAGTACAGGAGTTGGGACATCACACTGAGGTTGTACAGGACGTTAATGAGGCCTCTTCTGGAGCACTGTGCCCAGTTCTGATCACCCTGCTGTAGGAAGGATATTGTTAAACTGGCGAGGGTTCAGAAAAGATTTACCAGAGAGTTGCCAGGAATGAAAAGTTTGAGTCATAAGGAGAGGTTGGATAGCCTGGAACGTTTATCCCTGGAGGGTAGGAGGTTGAGGGGTTATCTTATAGATCTTTATAAAATCATGAGGGGCGTAGATAAGTGTCTTTTCCCTAGGGTGGGGGAGTTCAAAACTAAGGGGCATATTTTTAAGGTGAGAGGAGAAAGATTTAAAAAGGACATGAGGGGCAATTTTTTTCACACAGAGAGTGGTTCATCTGTGGAATGAACTGCCAGAGGACGTGGTGGATGTGGGTAGAGTTATAACATTTAAAAGAGATTTGGATAAGTACATGGATAGGAAAGGTTTGGAGGAATATGGGCCAGGAGCAGGCAGGTGGGACTAGTTTAGTTTAGAAACACTGTTGGCATGGACTGGTTGGACCGAAGGGTCTGTTTCCATGTTGTATGACTCTACGATTTGAATACAGTGGATACTACCATCAGTGAATACCCCCCACTATCAACATCCTGTGGGTTACTATTGACCAGTCATACCAATCCTGTGGCTACAAGAGCAGGTCCGAGGCTAGGAATCCTGCAGCGAGTAACTTCCCCTCTTAACTTTCTCCCACAGCCTGTCCCACCATTGACAAGGCACAAGTCAGGAGGGTAAGGGAACGCTCCCCATTTTCCTGGATGGGTGAGGATCCAACAACACTTGAGAAGCTCAACACCTTCCAGGACAAAGCAGCACCCTCCCCCCACCTCAATCGACACAATAACCCCCACCCTCAACATTCCCTCCCTCCGCCACTGACGCACAGCAGTAGCTGGGCTCATTAGGAATGCTCGGCTGAGCTCCAACACTGACTCAGAGGGGCAGCAGTGTGTACCATCTACAAAACGCACTGCAGTGACTCATCGAGGCTCCTTCGACAACACCTTCCAAACCCGCCACCCTCTAACCCCCTGGAAGGACGGGGAACGCGGGGGGACCACCACCTCCTGCAGGTTCTCTTCTGAGACCCTCAGACCATCCTGATTGGGAACAATATGGGCCATTCCTTCAGTGTCACCGGGGTCAGAATCCTGGAACTCCCTCCCTAACGGGGGCACTGTGCGGGGTGTCCCTACACCACACAGGGGGTGGGTACTGAAGTGGGTCAGGAAGAGAGCTCACCCCCACCTTCTTGAGGGGGCAATTAGGGACGGGTGCCAGGTTGTGTCCTCACCTTGAAAGCAGCGTTGATGTCGCTCCAGGTCATTTGACCTTTCATACCTCACGTTCCCAGAAACATCCTGAAAGCCAAGAGAGTAAGCATGAGAGAGAGTGAGAGTGTGAGAGAGAGAGAGTGAGAGTGAGTGAGAGGGAGAGGGAGAGAAAGAGTGAGAGTGAGACAGTGAGAAGGAGGGAGAGTGAGAGGGAGTGAGAGGGAGAGAGTAAGAGGGAGAGAGAATGAGAGTGGGAGGGAGAGGGAG